TAGGGGGGGTGTGGGTCCACACACGTGGATGTTGGGTTTGGGGACGGCTCTTTGTGCCCGTCCTTTAGTTGGTCCCCACTCAGAGGCTGCCCACAGTGACCAGCCAGCGAGGGTTGTGTGTTTAGGGGACTCCTGGACCCCCTGACTTGCTGGCCAACCCCCCGCCCCAGCACCCCCACAAGGCCTGTGTGGCTCTAACAGCACAGGCTTCCTTTGGTGACATTTTCTCCAAAGCTTTCTACTCAGCTGGGTTGAGGAGGGTTGTTTTTTTTTTTGACCTGACTTTCCTTCCTGCAGAATCGTTTAATGGCACTGGGAAAAAAAAACCCACTATGTTTATCCCCCAAAAAATAAAGATAGAAGAGGGGAAAAAAAGCATTATGGAATAAAAGTTAATTCCAGGTGAGAGGAGAGAACAAAGAAACCCCTCTGCAGTCCTGTTAAGCCCCACTCTGGGAATTTCCCCTTCCCACAGGGACACGACTGACCCCCTAAAGATATTTTAAGGGAGAAAATGGTGTTTTCAGAGCGCTCCTCTACCCCCCAAACCTGGGGGGAAAATTCCCCCCTGCAGCACATCCATTGCAGGGGGAAAACTTTGGGCAGGGTTTTCTCATTCTCCCTTTTTCCCCCCTTGTTTTCTTGAACCCCTTCCCTGCCAGTTTCCCTCACCCCAAATGTTGTTCACCTCCTTTTCCAACGGGGACTTGTTTACACGGGGATTTTCTGTGGTGTTTTAGTCCGTGAGGAATCACAACGGGAGTAAACCATCCCACTGGACAAATCCTGCAGGTCTGCCTGGCTCTGCTGGAGAGGATCCTCCTCCGAGAGCTTTTGCCCACAAAAGGAAAGTGTTGAAAAGGAGCAAGATGCCAAATGCTGCTCACAGGGTTTGCTCACAGAGCTCCTGGGGGGTGGGGGGAAGAAATCTGCTCGCTGGGACCCAAGGTAGATCCCTCCACACTGGGACATTATCCAACAGGGGCAAAAGGTCTTCAAAAATCTGATTTTTTTTTCCCCAAAATATTGCTATCCACAGCTCAAGCGTGTAAACATAGGTGGGGATAGAAACATCTTGAGGGGCAGGGATAATTTTGGAGAGGGTTTTTGTTAAGAAGAACAGAATGAGACCAGCCCCAAAGTCTGAAATCAAAGTAACAGGGTGGTGGCTGCTGCTCAAAAAACCAAAGATCTACCCAAACGAGCTGCCCCCCCAAAAAAAACCAGATCTGTGGTTTTATTTCTATGTGAATTAATTAATTGATTCCTGCTTAGTTAACATTTAAAAGGACTTATTTAATTTTATTTTTTTATTACTTTTCACCATCCTAAATAGGGAAATTACTGGGGGTTTTTGGAGTGAATTTCAGATTCTGTCCCAGCAAGGACAAACCCTTCAGCACAACCCATTCCAATGCAGTTCCCCAAGATTTTGGGGAACACATTCCTGTTTGCCACTGGGAACCCCTCTGTGGAGTCGGGGGGAAGTTGGGGAAGGTAAAACCAGCCCCCCTTTCTCCCACCCTCCTCTAGGAGCCCAGGGCTCGTTTTCGTTGGGTTTTTTTTTTATATGGCTAATTTTTGGAGATGCTTTTCCTTGCAACCCTCCTCCATCCCTGCCTGCTACACCAGGAAACACAGCTCCAAAACTGGAAGGAGGGTAAGGAGCAGAACAGGGCTCCACAAAAATCTGCGTTATCTTTCTGCTAAATAAAATACGTTTAATTTTTTTATACCTATATATAAATCAATAAATCCATCTCGGCTCCCCAAAACCGATGAGGTTGAAAACACACAGCTTAGACCAATCCAGCAGCAACATCCCGGGCATTCAGTGGTCTGTTTGTAATCTCAGCCTTTTTTTTTTTTTCATTAACATAAACACGACTTCAACAAAAATATACACGGCCACCTACTAAGCCGGCGGAGTAAACGAGGAGCCGGTCCCGGTATTAAGCCGGGTTTAAGGGGCAGGAGCTGGGCGGAAAAAGCCGCTGGGGAATGGCTGGAAAAACCCTGTTCTCCTTTCGTGTCCCTGCCCCGGGGGGGGGGGGGCGCCTATTCACCCACCACCCACCCCCCCCTGCGAGGAGAAATTGGTGAAACGAGAAATCCTCTCGCTTTTTGGGCTGGCTTCGGGGGTTTTGCCCTTTGCTTTCGTGTTTTGTCCCTCTCGTTCTCCCCTTTTCTGCCTTTCTCCTTTTTGTTTTACTTGTTTCTTTTGGTCTTTTAATCTTTCGCTATTTTTTTGCTTTTTTTTCTTCCTTCCTTTCTCCTTCTCTCCTTTCTTTTCTTCCTGCCTTCCTTTCTGTCTTCCTTCCTTTCTTCATTTCTTCCTTTCTTTCCTCTTTCTTTTCTCACTGTTTTCCTGTCTCTTCCTTTCGCCCTTCCTCCTTTTCTTTTCTTTCTTTTCTCTTTTCTTTTCTTTTCTTTTCTTTTCTTTTCTTTTCTTTTCTTTTCTTTTCTTTTCTTTTCTTTTCTTTTCTTTTCTTTTCTTTTCTTTTCTTTTCTTTTCTTTTCTTTTCTTTTCTTTTCTTTTCTTTTCTTTTCTTTTCTTTTCTTTTCTTTTCTTTTCTTTTCTTTTCTTTTCTTTTCTTTTCTTTTCTTTTCTTTTCTTTTCTTTTCTTTTCTTTTCTTTTCTTTTCTTTTCTTTTCTTTTCTTTTCTTTTCTTTTCTTTTCTTTTCTTTTCTTTTCTTTTCTTTTCTTTTCTTTTCTTTTCTTTTCTTTTCTTTTCTTTTCTTTTCTTTTCTTTTCTTTTCTTTTCTTTTCTTTTCTTTTCTTTTCTTTTCTTTTCTTTTCTTTTCTTTTCTTTTCTTTTCTTTTCTTTTCTTTTCTTTTCTTTTCTTTCCTTTTCTTTCTTTTCTTCTTTTCTTTTTTCTCTTTTGTCTTTTTTCTTTTCCTTTCTTTTCCTTTTCCTTTTTTCTTTTTTTTCTTTTCCTTTCCTTTCTCTTCCTTTATTTTCCTTTCTTCCTTGCTTTCCAGTTTTTCCTCTTTAACCCTATTCCTTCCTTTTCTTTCTCCTTATTTCTCTCTTTATTTTCCCCCTCTATTTTTACCCCTCCATTTCCCCGTTCCTCCGTTTCTCTCTTTCACCCTTTCTCGACTCTTGCTCTGCATTTCTCTATCTTAATTACTCTTTCGTTCTCTCCTTTCTCTTTGCCTCTTTCTTTTCTGTATTCTCCGTATTTCTTTCTAGTTCTCATTCACTATCTCGTTTTCTTTCTCTCCTTTTTCTTTCTTTGTGTGTATGCAGTATGTATGTAGTTCTGTGTGTCGTTCTGTCTGTTCTGTCTGTCTTATTCCTCACTGCCTTGTTCTCTCCCCTCCAGGACACTCTCTCTCTATACCTATTTATCTGTTTCAAAATTTGGACACTCTTCTCCTTTCCTCTTCTGGGGCTGCGGAGCAAACGAGACCCGCAGGAGCCCCTGCGGTGCGGAAAACACCGCGGATGGGGGGGAAAACCTTTAAACCCGCCCGACTTTTGAGTGAATCATCCAAATTCGATCGTTTCCAAAGGAAAAACGAATCATTCTGGGAAAAAAATAATAATTACGCTGCAACCCAAGCCCTCGGGCAGCATCTTCCCTCGCAGGTAGCCCGCAAAAGCTGCGGGAGAAAGGGATTTTGGCTTTCAGCAGCCAGGCAGGAGTTCCCCTAGGAACCCACTCTAAGGGGGTTAGATGCAAAACGATTTTGCACCTTTTAAGAAGAATTTGAAGGGAGATGAAGAGCGCGGAGCTGAAGGTGCTCTGCAAAACGCGCTCCGCCGGCGGTTCTGATAACAGGAGAAGCAAAAACAGTCCTGGGTTCGTTATTCAAATTTTTAGTGAGCTCTGCGCCAGCTTTAGTAGGTTTTTTTTTGTTGTTTGGTTGAGGTTTTTTTTTACAGATTTCTTTCCAATTCCTTTCCTTTTCCAAGAAACCCAGATGCGCAGCGGGAAGGTGGATGTGCCCGTTCCCGTTATCAGCCTGGTTCTCACCAACCAAAAAATAGCAACTACTTTGCTGTTAATCGGTTAAATTCGGGGCATAACAACCAGCGCTGCTGAAAACCTTCCCACCTTGGGTCGGGCATTTCAAGTATCCACTGAGCATCTTTCCCGGGAATGCCAAAGGATCGTGCTCTTAAAAAAAATACTAAAGGCCCCGTCTCCCCCCCAAAAAATCTCTTCTAATATTGAACTAAGAGCTGGTTGTGCAAAAGGGGTCGTTTTAGGGAGCGCTCGTCTGGTTTTCAAAGCGGTGGGAAAGAGGATTAACCAATTTTTGTTGTCTTTTTCGTTCTCCGGGCTGGTAACTGCCAAGCAAAAGGGGGGGTCCCGAATCTGCAGCACCCCGAAATGTGGATCCGGAGTCTGCTGTGCACTGCGAAGCAGGCGGGGTCCACTAATTAAGTGATTTTAATCTAATTAAGTGACTTTACTTAGTATGATGATGATGATAATAATAATAATA